ATCCTTCCTCCCTCCCTCCCTCCCTCCCTCCCTCCCTCTCTCTCTCTCTTTCTTTCTTTCTTTCCTCCCTCCTTTCCTTCCTTCCTTCCTTCCTTCCTACTTTTTATTTGATTTGATTCAAGTTAATTACTCGCCTCTCTTCCAAGCCTTCCCTAGACTTCCAGTGCCTTCATTTTGCCCCGACATAAGACCTTTGTGTGTTTTTAGCTGTTGCATGTTACTGTGTGAACGTTCTGGCTTGAACAGTGGCATATTCACTTTCAAGAGAAAAAAAAAAGAATAAACAAATAACAGACAGGAGAGCCTTTGACCATTTACTTTCCTCTCTCTCTGAGAAAAACTTCCCATTTTTTTCTTCTTCCAATGTTGAACTCTAAAAGGTGACTTTTTCTGAACAGTAGATTAATTGTCCAGAGACCTTGGCAAGACTCTTCAATCAAAAGATAAGAAGTGTCCAATTTCCCCAATCCAGCCTGAAGTTGATATCCCATGAAGCTTAGCTTTCTGTTGTTTAACCAAACAGAAAGGCTGCCAGATAATGGTGGGACACACACAACTTTAAGAGTATTGACTGCCTCATAATGAGCAAAGTGAATTTTTCAGTCTTTGTGGGGATGGGAAATTTATGAAGAAAAATGAAGCCAATAATGTCATCCATTAAGCTCCACTCCTAAAATATCTCAGAAACTAGACTGAATATTTTGGTCCTGCCCACCTCAAGTGACCACACTACTCATGGATAGTGACCCCTGACAGTTGCTAAAATGTGGAACCACATTTTTTACAGGAATCATTCAGCGATACAATAGCAATCTGGGGGGGAAAATGATGCTACATAAAAAGGATCAAGATGGACTGAGCAAACTTTGCAGAGATGAAGGGAAGAACTTCTGAGATGCTCCTCTCAAGTCTACATTGTTCCTCTTTCCCTTGGTGGGAGGTCCTCATGGGAGAAAATATGTTTTTTTGATAGAAATGCAAAGGTGAAAAAAAGTGGCTGTGGCCAAAAACATGGTCCAACAGTATAGGAAGGCATTAATGAACATGAGTGTATCGTGTTGATGGGTGCTTCAAGAATTATCATCTTTGGGGGACGCTCCAAAGTTATCTTCCAGTACTTGAGGGCTTTCACAGAGAAGAGGGAGTCAACTTATTATCCAAAGCACCTGAGGGCAAGAAAAGAAATAACGGATGGAAGATCATTAAAGAGACATCCAACCTAGAACTAAGGAGAAATTTCCCGGCAGTGAGAACAAATCATCAGTGGAATGGCTTGCCTCCTGGAGTTGGGGGTGCTCCATCACTGGAGGTTTTTAAGGAGAGATTGGATAGCTATTTGTCCAGAATTGTATAGGATCTCTGTCATGGGCAGGGGGTTGGAGTAGAAGACCCCCAAGATCCTTTCCAAACCTGTTGTTCTATATGTTCTAAGGCCCAGTTGACTATGCCACATCCGGATTTGCGGCTGTCAGATTATCCATTCCTGACCAGAGATGAGGGATAAATTATTCTGTAGGTTATGCTTTGTTAGCAGAAGGCATTCCCGTGGACACTCCACACTGGACTTTCCATGCTTCCCCATGGAGCCTTGCAGCCTGATTTAAAGATCCCAGACGCCACTGTGGCTGGCTCTAGTACAAGGACACTGGGAGGAGGACCAGGCATTTTGAGGGGTGGGCAAGGCAGACGGACGGACGACCATGGTGGCTGAGACATGGGTCTGTTTCCTGGCATTCAAATACTGACGCGAGCAGAAAGCTCTTAACAATGAAGCTGCGGCAGTCGGAATCCCTGGCTGTCTCCAGCTTCTCTGACTTCCGCCAAGACCCACCGTTGGCCTTTTCCTCTGTCTTTTCTATTACTGCTTGGCAGAGAAATTCTCCTACACTGGAACGATGAGTCACAAAATAATCCCTCAGGAGCCCTGGGCTCTCCTCCCATCAAGTCGAAGTATCAACAGGAGAAATTTCAAAGAAATTCTGAAGAACCTTAGGAATAAAAGAGAAAACCTGAAGCCTCATCAGCAGGGTGAGATTTTAATCGTATGGGAGATATGTCATCCCGCCTTTTCATTCTTTACAAATGCTTCCGATACTGGAGGAGAAACACAGACAGAGAAACAAAAGGCAATTGGTCAACCAATTTAAAATAATAAAAATAAAAAAAAGAGGACGCCCCTGAGAATGGC